GGAGATACCCCTAGCTAGATCACGCAAACGACGGAGAAAGGCCCTACCAGGTCATACCGCCTTACAAACAAAATTGAGACGACCTAGCAGGGAATGAAGATTGCGCAACGTGATTTTCTTCTGATCGAGCACACTAACAATCGTATTTTGTAAAGCAACTTGCTTATCAGTCGGGATTTGAATCTGTCGTGCATCCGTATCGATCGCTAAACCCAGGAAAGTGAGGTTCGTAGCTGGACCGTCGTTTTTTTCTTCCGCGATGGGTACCCCAAATCGCTGACAAACTACTCTGAAAGATTGGAGGGAACGTGCGCACTCGGCATGACTAGCCCCAACGAACAGGAAATCATCCAGATAATGCACAATGTTAAGATATTCGGCCACCTTACGGGTACAGTACTCAAGGGAAAGTACTGAACCGCTCGAATGTAACACAGGATAAAGCACAGCCCATAGGCATGCATTTATCGAAATAAAATTGGCCGTTATGGGAAAAACCAAGCAAATCAAAATCGCTTGGATGGACGGGAAGTAAACGAAAGGCCGACTTAATATCCGTCTTAGCCATCAGGGCACTACGTGGTAAACCTGCGATCATAGCTATCGCCTCATCAAAACTCGTGTATGAAACGGTGGTGTCTGCGGGATCAATGAAATCATTCACCGATTTGCCGATAGGGGACGACAAATTATGGATTAACCGAAATTCACCCGGAGTCTGTTTGGGCACCAGGCCCATAGGTGAACAACGGAAATGAGGAAGAGGCTGGGACAAAAACGGGCTAGCAACGCGACCCAAAGCAACTTCACGATCAATTTTTTAACTGCAGAATGTTGGGATGTTTGCGAGCAAATGCAGAATTACGAGCAGAGGTACTAACCCTGGAACCTGAATAGCCTACCCGGAAACCGCACAAAAAAAACTTCTTGCAAAAAGTGGGAGTCCTGAGTATTAGGGTAAGCCCGTAAAAAAGGGAGCATACTACTTAGTTTTACTGGGGTTGATGCCAGCTGCCGGCACCCGTGCTGAGACGCGAGACTGTGCGTTTCCCCGACAACGGGTTGTGGGGTGGCCAAATGCCCTGCAGGTGGAGAAGCGATGCGCGAAGCGACACAAGGGACGATTGCACTGATCGCGGTTGAAGTCGATACATGTAGGTTGACCAACCCCGGCGACTGGGCGCCGACCAGGCCCGAAATCGGACCAGGGGGTGGCGGCAGTGGAGGGGGCACGCTCGCGTTGCTGGTACAGACAAAAATTATGCTGGTGCGAAACGGGCACACCAAGCAGCACCAGCCAAAGTTCGGCATCAAAGTTCGGCAAAGAGCGCGACGGCACACGCGCCTGGTGCAATCGAAACTGGATGTCGTACTCGCGCCAACATTACCCCACATGTCGAAATGCTGCAGATCGAATAGTGTCTGCGTACTTCAGTAACGAACGAGCGTGGGTAGGATGTTGCAACAAATACACAGATGTAAAAACTAGAAACGCTGACGCCCACTGCTCGATAGACGTAATAGGCGGAGCCTGCTTATGGGGACGAATCTGCCAAAGTGGGGACTCATTGGACCCGATTGTAAAAAGAGTCTCGTCAAAGGAATTATCCAAGCCCGTGCCGCGCGACAACTTCAACAAGGTTCCGAATTCTACGTACTCCCCCCTCCAAATTTTGTCTTTTAGATGTTGAGGAATCGCGGCCCCGAAATCGTCACAGACGCTAGTTAATGCCATACTCGAATCGGAAGAGGAGGTAATTGACAATGTGCTTGGAGCTGAAGTTCCCGACACCACGAGCGTGAAACTGGAAAGTTGCGGGGCTAATTCAAAAGGATTAGCAACAGGGGATTTACCCGGCTCCAAAGTTTGCGCCGAACTCCCTCCAGGCCGACTGATGGTAGCGGGCGCTGACGTTGCATGGGTAGACTCAACACTCGAACTCTCTGGAATCATTCCGACAGTAGCCAACGGTACAACAGTGGTATCTGGACCGGACGATGCAAGCTGCGGTGCACTAGACCCTGCAAGGGCCGCGACCACCGACGCATCTTGACGGGAAGACTTGCGAGGCCGCCCCCGAGAACGCTTCGCTCCATCCGTCGGCCCAGAAGTATCCCACCGCTTGGAATTGGCGCGGGGCATAACTAACAAAATTGCTTTTGCAAAACAGACAGATTTTCTCTTTTCCAACCAAACGCCACGGCTGCTCAAGCAAAAGTGACCGGGAGTAACTCTCTCCAGTGCTACTAACATTTTTAAGGTCACGCCAGTAACTAGTTCGAGGCATTAAATCACCGTGCCAGCAACCGCACGTGAAAACTACTGACCAACTTAGTGACAAGAGCCCCCAATGTCCCGCGGTGATAAATTATTTGAAACTGCAATTTATTTTGCCTCAAATTGATTACAAGGGGAAGACAAACATAGATCCCTTTGGCGAACTTTGGATACACTGCCAAGAAATAAATAATCACTTTAATTACTTTAACGAGCAATCTTCATACGTATTGTGCTCCACGTCAGACCCGAGTGAAAGTGCCAAGTCACTTGTAAACGATCAAATAACGAACTTACATTTTTCGTTGAGAAATGAGCGGGGAGAAATTATCAACAATAAAGACGGCACAATTTTACTCGAGCTGGACTTTTTAACCGCCTCGAGCTAGACTTTTGAAATGTGCTATTAAAAAATGTGTTTTTAAAAAGATAACGACAGACAATCAGTCAAATATGTATCCAGACTTGACCGGATAACAAACGCGACCGAAATTTACCGCCTTCAAAAAACGCGATGCGAGAGAATCTTCTAACAAAAAGATCAGACGAATACTTACTGTGCTCAATTATGTGGAATACGGAGTCGAAGCAATAGGCGCTACACCTGCCGCCATTCACATTCCCGCTATTTCGGGAGTTATTACTGGGCCCATAGGACTTGTGATGGAAGGCCTCGCTATCGGTGCAATTGGGGCTTATGCGATGTTAAGGTACGCCAGTTGCAGATTGCCTCACAAAACTAAGAAACACGACCAAATCCGCGTGCTTGCCGATGCAAAGCTAAACACCATCGAGGAATGCGTCTCTCACGCGATCAAAGACGGTGATATTTTTTGTCTGAACTGAAAAAATTTAACGAAATGAAAGAAAAGATCCAGTCAAACACGCTTATAAAGTTGCAAGGAACTAAAACTATATATCTATAGACAAAGCAGAATTTGACCGTCAAGTGCAAGCAAAGGCGGAAACTTTGTCAATGAAAGGGCGGCGTTTTTTTTTAAGACCTTATGAAAACACTTGGCGAATAACTTTGTACAAATTTGTCGTCAAGTACGAAGAACCACTACCTGCTTACCAAAATATCATTAAAGAAGTAGAACCCACAGCACCCCCTTTTTAAAATCTGTTATAAAATGAATGGGAGCCAATTTTTGTCAATTATCGATCGTGGTAAATAAAGATTACTGGTTCTCCGCCGTGTTTCCAAATTTAACCTCGGTGTTCAAGTTACCAAAAGTGAAAACACACGAAGCGGTCAACTGCTGGACGACAGACCCGATATCATTTTACCAGAACCAATTTAACTTCGCAGTGTATTGCGCTACGACAGCTTGCGGGGTGGGTTTCGATATATTGTCCGATTCGAACCCGTACGTGTCTGCTTTATTTAACTTCCACGTGTATTACACAGTGAGAAAGATATTTTACGACTGCGTGAGGCCCATCCTGAGCGACGACATCTTTAACGCATTGCACAACAACTATGACCATCGGAAGTTCACAGACATTTGCCGACTGTAAAACGTCGATCCAAGTAAATCTTAAAAACGAACTCGCGACACTGTATCAAACGGATTGGGAACGGCTTACTGTTACGACAATGGTGGCGTTGAAGTCCCAAGTAAAAACTACGACCCCTATGACTTACACGTCACCACGGCAAATTTGCGGGATTTACTTTTATGGGCTTTGGGTGGGCTAAACCGCCAAAAGGCTCTGGTCACGCGAGTACTTATTAGGTGACTTGGATTACACAGTCTGACTCAGCTAAATTGGCTTGGTGGGACTTTATCCCAAAGAAAAGTAAATTAACAGACGTGGGAATCACAATGGTAAACGAGTCGATCACAGCCTATGTGTACGCGCTATTGGGAGCTCGAGCACAGACAAAGACGAGTGTAATTGAACCCGGGACCGGATAGATGCCCAACGACAGTTTATAATGATCGTGAAATCTTTAAGAAACTCGGAGCCCGACCTTGAACAAAGAATCGACCAATTTCAAGATTCGTTTTTGTACGCAAAAACGCCTTTAAACTTCGTAGTCGCACTCGGTTTGTATTTGGTACCCTCGGACATGGACCTGAGAATCGGTACATTTGAAGGATACAACAATTTACAAAATGCGACAGCCGGCATGAAGACCGGTACGTGCCAAGTTTAAACTCGATTGCTTCCGACCAAGTAGAAGAAGAACCAGATTTCACAGAATCGGCACAAGTAGACAAACAGCCAGAACTAGAACCTACACCTCCTTTACCCGTATCAACACCACCTCAAGAAAAGAAACCGTTGGACGTTCACAACGAAGAAAAACTTTCGTTAACCGTAGGAGCTATTGTCGTTGGTGGACTCGGTTTTATGCTGTACAAAGTGTTAACTTGAAACTAACTTTGATAAAAGGCATGAAAAAAAAAAACTCCTTAAATTTAAAGAGGGGTTTTAAATTTTTTTTTTCCTAAAATTAATCTGTTACATCTTCTTCAGGTAAGCCAAAATTAAAATGCCCACGCCCATTAACAATGATCCAACGATCCAGCGATCCAACCGACCCCTTTTCTCGCCGCAGTGAATAGCCAGCTCAACACGCTTCCGATGACACTGGATAATGCACCCAAAGACGACAGACCCGGTTTTTTCAACACGTTTGCCAAATTTTCCAATTGCCGTTTGATCCAGTCTGTTACGCCTCCTTTCGCGGGGGTTTAGGCGCAGGTTCTGGGCTAAGTGCCGGCGTAGGAGTACCAACTGCTCTGACAGAGGCCACTATACTTGATACGATCGTACTCAAGGCTAAACTAAAAGCTGTCAAAATACTCACAATCGTTACCCCTTGTTCTCTGAAAAGCATTCAATTTTTTCGCGTACAGTTAAATCACCGTCCATTATTGCTGAAACTTTTTTTTCTTAATGCGATTGATTTGTGACCGAAGGTGATCGGTGTTTCTGTAAATAAGTTCTAACCTACCTCGCCTTTCCACTTCTAAATTGCCCAACTGTTGTTGAAGTTCTGCACGTTCTCCTTCCGAAGCTGCTTCCTCTGACTCGTTCTTCACCTCTTTGTTGCGTCCGGAATATCTTCTTCATCGTTTGTGTAATTTCCTGGGGGGTTTGTGTAATTTCTTTTGTCAAATGAGGGCGCTGCTTTAGCGCTTATGGGTGCACTGAGC